TAAGTGTCTAATGACTGGCAGTTTACCCTATTTAAATTTTGGCAAAAATTTGCCTGTGGAAGCCTTTAGACTGGGTTGCACCCTTGCACTAAGTATCTTACTACAAACAATTTTCCAAAAAAAAATTTTTCATAGCAATATGACGGCCATTGCAATGGGACCTCACTCAGCATAATGCCGGTGCCTGTGACCCACGATACAGAGGGCCACGATGCGTTTTCAGTGTAGTATACACCTTTTGCCCGTGGCTTCACCGGTGTGAAATTTAGTTTGTCACAGATCGTCATAAATTATAGCCTTTATGTTATTCTGGGTTTTATACAATAACTAGCTGACCCGGCGAACTTTGTTCCGCCTTAATGGCAATAAATAAGCAGACTTTTTTTTTAATTTCGAACGGGATAAAAAGTATCCTATGTTCTTCTCCTGGCTCTAAACTACCTCCCTGATAATTTTCAGCTAAATCGGTTCAGCCGTTCTTGAGTTATAAGTGGAGTAACTAACACGACTTTCTTTTATATGTATAATAGATACTGTAAATATTCATGAAAATCCGTTCAGTAGTTTTTGCGTGAAAGAGTAACAAAAATCCAGACATCCAGACATCCAAACTTTTGCATTTATAATATTAGTAAGATTACAACTCGATCTAGCTAACTGCGCACCCCGCTGGAATGCGACTCCCCTCGCACTCACCCGCACACCTCCCCGCGCGAGCCCCGTCTGTACAGAGCGGCGTGTGACGCACGGTGCCAGGCCTGGCTCACTCCGCGCGGTACATCCGATAATTACCTACAGCGAAGCGCCCCGCCGGCGGGTATTATATCAGTCGAGTGTCACGCGCGCGCCCGTCAGGACGCTGGCGTGCGTTGTAGTATGATTATAATTCTATGATCGAAGTATTATTGATAAATGGACATAAAGAGAAAGAAATATTGTGCGGCGTTCGGGTGTTTAAATTCGAAAGTAATCTACCGGATTCATCTTTTTTTTTCGCTTCCCAAAGATGCTGAAAGGTATGTTGGCCAAGTGGGTAATCAATAATTACTAGGATAGTATAGGAACCTAACCTACTATGACTACTGCTCAGAATGCGTCACTGCTGGACAAAGGCCTCTCCCAAGGTTTTCCATAATGAATGCATACTTACCTACATACGTACCTCATTACAAATAAGTAGATTAATATTTTTTCACTAGACAGCAACCCTAACAGCGTAAGAAAAGTTCAGAGGCACGCGATAGAAAGAGACAAAACTTGTAGGTGAATAAAATTGTAGGTACGTAGTGCTGTGCGAGCTGAATTCCACTGTATCGCGTCGTAGCAAGACTCGCATTTATTTAAATCGTCTTGCGGAGTAATCCTTCTGTACCTGTACTATTACTTATTCTGTGACGGTGGGCTGATATTAGAGCTTCATAGACTTAGCGTCGCTCAAAAATCAAGTGCCTAATTTTGAAAAAATAAATATGCCAATGTGTTCCTTTACCAAAAAGGAATATTTTATGTTATGTAACGTTTCTTGATGAAGTTATTATTTAATAAGTTATTGACAATTTCCTTTTTTTTTGTATGGAACTCAACATTTATTTTTATTTTATTCGTTATTCTTAAGCTTTCTTAAGAAATTGACTTTTGTATTATGTAACGCAACATACAGTGTGAGTCACGTTAAAGTGTACATATGAAAATAGATGAAACTAGACCTATTTTTATCGACAAAAAAGATGTCAAAAAATTTTTGAGATTTTTTTTTAAATTTTTATCGAATTTTTTTTCTTCCAATTACTTATTGTAAAGAAAACGTAATAACTTTTGAATTAAGCGGCATATTCTGATAAAATAAAAACAGTAATAATGCTAAATAACAGGCGATACTAAAAAAATACATAAAATACACAAAAAAGGCCAAAAAATAATAAAAAATGATACTTTTTAAAAAAAATCTGCTAAAAAATTCGTGTTTTTTTGGTTATTTGATAAATTTCTCCAAAAAATGCCCCTATAACCGGTGGTTTTTATTACTTTGTATTATTTTCTATCGTATTACCTTCGTAAAACCAAAAATCGCATGTCTCTATCCCTATCACAACGTTTGCAATGATTGTTTGCCAAAAATTGCCAAATTTTGTAAAAATAACTACGCCAATGTGTTCCTTTGCCAAAAAGAAATATTTTATGTTATGTAACTTTTCTTGATAACGTTATTATTTAATAAGTTATGGACAATAATTACTTTTTTTTTGTTTGGAGCTCAACATTTATTTTTATTTTATTCGTTATTCTTAAGCTTTCTTAAGAAATTGCTTTTTTTATTATGTAATGCATCATATAAGCTATATTATCACCAAGGGACGAATCCCGGAAACCCTCGGTACATTGTCATTTTCGACTTTAAAATAAAATTGAAAATTTAATTCATATAATTTTTATAATTCATATTTATTTTTTCAAAATTAGGCACTTGATTTTTGAGCGACGCTAAGTCTATGAAGCTCTAATATCAGCCCACCGTGTGACGTCACGGCTGCCGGGTGCGCAGTTAACTCGACCGGTAGTGTACCTTGCTATTTATAAACTGTGATGACACATCCGTTATCTAACCCGATTCAACAAAATATTCACTCGGTACTTTAGCGTGAAAATGTTAACAAAACAACGGCCGAGAGCCGCACGAAGGGTTCCGTACGAAATATTTCTAAATAAAGAAAAAAACGGTGGGGAAGAAAAGTTCTCGAATGGCAACCACTCGAAGGAACGACGACGGAAGACGTAGCTTGGGCAGGCCTCCTACTAGGTGGACCGACGATCTGGTGAAGGTGGATGGAAAGTGGATGCGGGCAGCACAGGACTGATCGTTATGGAAAGCCTTGGGGAGGCCTTTGTCCAGCAGTGGACGTTATTTGGCTGAAACGAACGAAAGAAAAAAACTTTTGAAAAACGAACAGTAGCGAGCCACCAGGCATGTAAAGCTCACTCGTCTAAAGCCCGGTCTGTGAGCACGTAGAATTTTGTCCAATGACCCCAAGCTACCCATCCTTATCGCTCGCGCGTAATTATATTGCTGTCGCGACTGAGCGACGGGCCACAGTGAGTGTGCGAGCGCGACAGCAACATAATTGCGCGCAAGCGATAAGGATGGGCATCTTGGGGTCATTGGACAAAATTCTACGTGTTCGCAGACCAGACTGTAATAGGGTCTCATTTTTACCCTATGGGTACAGAACCCTAGAAATAGTCAGACATTGTTACGTGTGTAGGTATACATTGAAATAAAGAAAAAGTCATTGAATATTCATAGGCTCAACAAAATGCTACAGTTTGGTTATTTTCATGTTAGTTATTTAAATATTTTCTACATTATTTTGTCAATCTTTTGTTTTAATGATAATAGTAGGCATACAGCGTTCAATAACAGATTATTCTGGAAAATAACATTTACACTCGCGTACAAAAAAATACGCCCTGTTGCTTTTTTACAATTTTATTAGTATGTTCGTTCATTCGTTATTTTTACGTAAGACAAAGCAGGTATTTGACCGCAATCGTGTCAGATGCAGTCTAGGATGTTACTTAATAATATCTGCCCTGAAAGTCAGCCATATTGACGTCGACTGCTGGACAAAAGCCAGTCCCCCAAAGATTTCCACAACGAACATTTAGAATTATTTAATAACTAGCTAACCCGGCAAAGTTCGTACCGCCCCTATGTTCAAAAATAATGTAGGATTCTTATGGTGAAAGAATTTTTCAAATCGGTCCTGTAGTTTCGAAGCCTATTCAATAAGTTCGTTCGTTCGTTTCAGCCAAATGACGTCTTCATTCAACGTCTTCTTCGTCAAATTCAATAAGTACAAACAATCAAATCTTTCCTCTTTAAATAATATTTTTTATCAGCATCATTCTAACACAGAGGCAAAAAATAGACGTTAGTACTACTCCCCACGCTGACCAGGTGGGTTGGTGGGGAGACCTGACCATTTTAGCCCCAGGACGTCCACTGCTGAACATAGGCCTCCCCCAATGACTTCCACATCGCACGGTTGGCAGCGGCCTGCATCCAGCGCCTTCCTGCATATAAATCATTGGGGGAGGCCTATGTCCAACAGTGGACGTCCTATGGCTAAAATGATGATGATTGAAGTACGCAGATCTTCAAATAGGTATATTGTAGTATTTTATTCTTTCTCTATCTAAACCATCTAATAATATGATTTAGGCCATGTTTTCATTCTAGGACAAACAGATTATTTTAATGCAATGTTGACTTAGAAACATCACTTGAAATCTCATCTAATAAAATCATAGCCCCTTATCTTTTGCACTGGAGTGTAATACAAATATTTTTACATCAATGTTTCTAATATTACAATAAAGAAAGTTTGTTTGTACATAAATACATTTAACCTTCAAAATTATGTTTGTTGTCGACACGACAAGTAGAAGACAGCCTCTGACTTCAATAATATTTCCGGTTTTTACAACATTTTTCATCACTGCTCCGCCCCTATTGACTGTAGGGTGATGTTAAAAGCCTAAATCCTTCCTCGATAAATGCGGGCTATCCAACACAAAAATAATTTTTCAAATAGAACTAGTAGTTCCTGAGATTAGTGCGTTCAAATAAATAACAAACTCTTATGCTTTGCAATATAAAGCAGAGATAAGTACGTGTCTTAAGTAGGTACTTAAACTTAAGTGGTTTTCGAAACTGCTATTATTGAAGGCCTACGCGAGCAGAGACGGGTGTTTGAAGTAGGTTTTAAAATACATTGTTATTTAAGACGTTTGAAATACATACTATGTATTACATAGACAGTTTTGTATCATTTAGTTTATCCGTTAACATCGTGGGGAGCGCTCGGATGCGTTGTGAAAATCCTTGGGGAAAGCCTTTATTATCCAGCAATGGGACTATTCCCATCTCTCGTTCCCACCACTACAACTCCTGTGTAGCCAGGATCTACAGCTTGACCGCCAATAACCCAACTAGTGAAGGCCAAGTGTGTCCCGGGGGAAAGTTCTGTCATTGGACCACAAAATTAATCAGAAGAACACAGGAGTTCGAATTTAAGGTTCAACCCTCCATTGCAAGCGGATGACAGACAAGGTGACAAAGGTTTAGTAACCTTTAAGAAAACTTTGTCCAGCAGTGGACAAAGTTAAAAGAAAGACTAGATATTAATTGTGTATTGTATTGTGTGTGTAAACAGTTCTTTTCAATAATGAAAGGAATGTTAGTTAAGCTGGGGAAGAACAAGGTCAAATGTGTAGAAGAAGGGCCAAATTCAAATAATGTTTGTGGAAACCGTAACGAAAATCGGCTATTGTTTTTAAAACAGGTAGGTTTTATTTTAATTATTGACTTAAATTTTATTGTAAGTAGTTACAGTCAGTCAAATAGTTCGTGACACTCAAAGTGGCCAAAAAGTTGACAACACGACCTAAATATTAAGAGTAGGCGCACACCGTTGATTTTTCGTCGGCCGATAGTTTAGTCGGGCAGTTGATCAGTATGGGCATGTATGGGAGTGCGCACACTACGCCGATTCGATTTAGCCGATTCTTCATACAAATTAAAATCGTCCACAACTATCGGCCAACTAAAAATCAACGGTGTGCGCCTACTCTAAACAATAAAATAAAAATATATAAGACGGGTTCTACCGTGATTTTTTACCGTTTTTTGCTTCAAACAAAACCTTAATTTCAGGATCAAACTATTTAAACTTTACAAAATTATGCTCTACCAACCCTTACCCATGTGACATGCAATAAATAATTTGAAATTGAATTTGAACTTACCAAGTTTGTACGGAACCCTCGGTGCTCAAGTCCGAATTGCACCTGGCTGGATTCTTATTTATTTTTAACCGACTTCAAAAGAGGAGGTTCTTAATCTGTATTTTTGATCTAGCTGTTCGTAGCCAGCGGAATATGGACCCCCTACCTATCTGTGGGCCTCTGCTTGGGCACCCCGACGGTGTACATCGCGCAAATGAGGCGTGAAGTCAACTCCACCGAAGCCGTGTCTCCTGAAATGTCATCTTGGATCTGTGAGTCACTTTTGATATTTAACACGTTGACTGCCAAAGTAAATTTAATACTAATTCGCTAAAATTGAATTTTTTGCTAATCGATGTGTAATGGCTTGAAATGAATAGTTATTGTTAAAAAATATTTTTTTACTATTTATATTGACATATTATACCCATAAAAAAAACTGTCAGCCACCCGTGCCTGACGCGGCCCGAATGGTATAAATTTCAGTCACAGCGCCATGTCAAGCATTTTGTCAGGCACAACAAAATCACGTTTCTGCGTTTTGGCGGGAACTACCGTGTCGCATTGCTTTCCTCGCTTTAGCCCTCGTGAATACTATCGCTCTGTCCGGTTGCTGTCGGTCAACTGTCAAATTTCGGTCGTGTAAAGTCGAGAAAGACAGCAAGTTATAACTTACTCTCTTCAAAGCCCTAATCAGCCTAATTTTTGACTGTAATGTTTCAATTTTTTACACAAATAATAATTTTAATAATTATGCTTAATAATTTATTCCGAAATATATCGTAAACTTGTGATTTTATTAAGAATTTCAAATATTTGTCGTGTTTTTACTAAAATTTTCATTCAAACCTGTGTTAATTTTTATTTAGGTACAAGAGTTGCAGGCCATGCTGAACATACTTTGTTGGGGGCCACGTCAGTCATTTAAAATAGGAAGTAACGCATTAAACGTGCCAGGCGGCCTACTGCGGTCGTTTGATTTAGATGCTTCAGTGTCAGGCTCCAGTGACTGACATGGCCCGAATAGGTTGCATGTTTGTCAGTCACCGGTGACTGTCATGGCAGCCTACGTGTTAATCATCATGAATCATCAGCATCATCATCATCATCAACAGCCCTTTACAGTCCACTGCTGGACTATGAGCCTCCTCCACTATAGTGGAGGGATTTGCCATAATCCCCACGCTTGGCAGGCGGGTTGGAGATCGCAGTTTAAAAGATTGATGTTTTTCAGAGAGCGCTGCTGCCCGTTCTCTGTTTCATGTGTAGTCCCTAAGTCGCCTCTTACGACACCCGTGGGAAGAGTAGGGGTTGGTGACAAATGTATTCTACTCTGCCGTCACCACACGGCTGAAATCATCAGCATCAGGTGATTGAATCTCCACTGCAGGAGTGCAGGAGCACAACCCTCTAATTTACCAGAGGCAAAAGAATACGTTACGTAATAAGTTGCAGGGGAAGACGCTGGATGCAGTCTGGAAATCATTTGGACAGAGGTGCAATTAACGGGACTATTCCCACCTCTCGTTCCCACCACTGCAACTCCTGTGTAGCCAGGATCTACAGCTTGACCGCCACAAAAACCCAACCAATGAAGGTCAAGTTTGTCCCGGGGGAAAGTTAAACTGTCATTGGACCCGCAACGAAATTAATCAGAAGAACATAGGAGGAGTTCGAAATTAAGGTTCGACTTCCCTCTATTGCAAAGCGGATGACAGATAACAAACAAAGATTTAAAACCTTTAAGAACACCTCTGTTAGGTGCAATTGTGTATAGATAGATGACCCACGCTGAACTGTCCCGCCAAACTCAATGACAGGGGGGCGATACCATCGTTCAACTATATGGTTTCCAACATGGCAAAAATCGGAACCAGCGATCCGGTATTGACGGTGGCGCCCCGCTGTCAATGTCATCGACAGGACAGTCCAGTATTTTGGAACTATAAAGCAATCGTATTCATTTGACAGTTCAAAACGTACGATAAAATCTGTTTAACAAGGCATTGTTCAGCAGTGGACGTCCTGTCTGATGGTTGGTGATGCACGTCGAAATTCAGAAACCTCTGAAAAAATATCTACTATGATCATTGTTTTTACAATGTTAATCGCAATTTTTCCATATTTTCTCAACCATTTGACGTTCAAATCTTCCCTGAATTACTACGAAAAATTACACACCACATATTTAAATCAGCCCCCGTTTTCGAATCTAAAGCAAGACAAACGAACAGCAATTCATTTATCTACAAATATAAAAACGACGCCGTGTGAAAATGCTCTTGATCGTCTAACCACCAACATGCTCCTAACGAGATTCGAACCCGCCACAACAACGTTATTATTGGGCACCAGACAATCAGGGGGTGGCACAATATGGTTCTTGGTAGTAACAGTATAGTTAAAAAAATATGATCACTAACTGTTGAGCTCCGTTGGTAGTAATAAAAATGAATGAATAAAAAAAGTATGAAAAATTAAATTATTAAGAGAGATTATTATGAAAACAAATCGGTAGTAAGACAAAGAATAGTATTTAGAATATTATTTGAGCCAATATGGACCCTACGCGCACACAACGTTACATCCACGATCTACCACGTAGTCAAGTAGTCACTAACATTTTTTAATCGTTAAAATCTTTCCTTCTTACTACGATGGTCTACGCGCTACAAGGACGCTACGAACATGCTACAACTGCTACGACCAGTCGCTACGACTTCTGTAGTAGCGTGTAGCGTAGTAAACGTGTTATATCGACGATACTTACGCCCGTATTCACAAACATTACTATGAGGTCTCAGTGCGCCTGGACGCACAGGGTCACACACGAACCAATTACAGAGCTCTATTAAACGCTGTGCGTTCGATTTGCTGCTTCACTTAAGCAAGCATCGTTTGTGAATACGGGTGTAGGTATTTCCGATTATTTACTTACTGGGAAGCCTCGGGAAGCCTTTTTGTTAATGAACAATTTTTAATTATTTTTTGAGCATGCAACCACAAATGCAACCCTGCGTTTAGGATCGCTAGCTTTGTCGTGATTATTGTTTTTATAATGTCTGATTTTAGAATGTTTTTTTCAGCATCAGCCTTCGGCTACGCGTCGATCCCTGGCGTGTTTCTCCTGGCATACCTGACGACGCGAATTGGTAGAAAAAGGACTTTCAATCTTGTCTCCATCAACATGCTCGTGGTAGCTACCAGCTACTATCTTAGCAGCACTCCGATGCACATCATAATAACTGAGATACTCCAAGGAATACCGCATGCTTGCAGCGTTTCCACCTCTATAATAGCTCTGGTTGAGTACACCTCCCCTGAAAACAGGGGCTTGATTTGATTTGGGCAGCTAACACTGTGGGTACACTCACAAATTGGAGGTACATCTGTGTGATAAGTTATATGAATGCGGCATACGCGTTATCTTCTTTCTTCTGGCCCGAATCTCCGTTATGGTTAGCAAGTAAAGGTAGGTTTGAAGAGTGTAAGGAATCACATAGATGGTTGAAAGGGAGGGGGGACGCCGCTGAGAAAGAGCTGGAAAAAATGATCAGAACGCAAATGGAAAACGTCAAAAAGCCTTGGAGTTGTAGAAATATGTTTCAGTTTTTGACTTTAAGAGAGTTTTACAAACCTATCATTCTTTCTTCAATAATGATGGTCATGTACCATTTATCAGGTAAACATGTCTTTACGATGTATGCTATAGATATTTTAAAGAAAATCACGAATAGCGAAACCGCCGCGTACAATGGCATGTTAATTCTGGATGGCGTTTCAGTATTCTGCATGTACATAGGCTGTGTTCTTTCGAAATTTTTGAGGAGACGCACTCTGCTTTTCGTGTTTGGACCTTTAGCAGCTTTATTCTTGTTTTTAATGTCATTATACTTATATTTAGTTAAGTTGTCTATCGTCAACGAGAACAAATATGTGTCGATTATGTTACTAATAGGTTTTTCTACAGCTATAGGGTTAGGACCCATCATTTTAGCTACTTCTTTGTATGGGGAGTTGATACCAACCAACTACAAAGGGCAAGCTGTGACAATAATATCCTTAATATTTGTGTTAATACAGTCCACTGTACTTAAGACGTCTCCGTATGGTTTTGTAGCTATAGGAACTCATGGTATGTTTATGTTCTATGGTATTTCAGTTACTGTATGTTTGTGTGTGTTGTACAAATATCTACCGGAGACAAAGGACAAGACCTTGCAGGAAATCGAAGACCATTTCAAGAGAAAGGAATGAATGTAGGTAGTTAACGTTTTGACTAGGTAAATCTATATCTATCTACTTACTTTTTTAAATATATAAAAGGAGAAACTGACTGACTGACATATCAACGCACAGCCTAAACGGCTAAACGTAGGCACTTGAAATTTGGAAGGGACGTAGCTTAGGTACCGTAGAGGTGCACTAAAATTCCCACGGGAACGGGAATTAGCGGGAAAATCCTTTTGTATGAAAAGTCTAAACCGCTTAAGTTAGACGCTTGAAATTTGGCATGCAGGTACCTTAGTGAACTTAAAGCTCAGTTACAACAGGATATTGCAAAATTCCCACGAGAACGGGAGTTAGCCGGAAAAAACATTTGTATGAAAAAATCTAAGCCGCGTAAGATAGATGAAGGGGGTAAAACGGGATCCACGCGCACGAAGTCGCGGGCGGCCGCTAGTTTTTCTATACTAATAATTATTATAAATGCGAAAGTAACTCTGTATGCGTCTTTCTTGGTCTTGGTTTCACGCCTAAACCACAGAACCGATTTTGATGAAATTTGGCATAGAGATAGTTTGAGTCCCGAGAAAAGACATATGATATGAGTTTTTATCCCGGTTTTTGAATCAGGGACGCGCGCGATAAAGTTTTTCTGTAACAGATTTCCACGCGGGCGAAGCCGCGGGCGGAAAGCTAGTACCTATTTAATATGTCACCAATTGTGAACTCTGTCATATTATAAACTGACGTAGTTAGATTACTTACAATCTGACTTTTAACCTAACCCTCTGTTATTTATAATCTCACGCGTAATATTTTAAACTGATGGAGTTCGTAATTTCACTTTTAAAATTGCAATTGTGTTGTACCTAAATAAAAAAAAATCTTCTAATGTAAATAATTTATAGGTAACTAGTTACCTACTTTAAAAGTTACCGCAATTTTAAAGGTGGTGGTTACTAAGGTTTGAAGACCAGTGAATTTTGGTCCTAAGATGACCCACTAAGTAAGTAAGTACGCGATTTATACACTACTAACCCGTTCGCGCTAAGTTTGCCGGTCCGTGGAATGCGCGTCCTCTCCCCCAACCGCGATTAAACGTAATTAATGTATCTTATTTTAAGCAAATACAAAATTTTTATCAATAATAATAAATAAAAAATATTTTAAATATAGTTTGATAAAATTATAGACGCTTCCCTTCGAGTGACGTCATATCGCCAGCGGCAAACTTAAAGCGAACGGATTAGTAGACTATGTCGCAGTAAGATAGATAAAGCCGTAATACATTTATAGTTAAATACCGTAACATAGTATACGAAAGCGATTCATCATTATCTATCTCACTAGGAATAGGTATAGTTATAGAACGGTCCAAGTTTAGTAGGTCGTAGTATACTACGACCTTGCACCTCGCTCACTACAATACGTAATTTATTTATTTATTAAGTAAATAAATTAAGCCTAATGATAAGACGGTCCATTTAGAATACTTAGTGCTAATTATAATACCTGATATGGTTGTTACTTGACTGTTACTCGTTATATCAGCGCCCTAAAGTATGTTTAATGTAATTACTGTTACTTAATGTAATTACTATCAGTCTAAATCTTATAACTTATATTTTCAATGTATCGCTGTTGGTTTCTATAAAATAAATAAATAAATAAAAAATCAATTTAATTATTAATGACATTATTAGCTAACTAGCTTTTTTAAGTAAGTAACTAGGCCTACTAACTTTTAAGTGAACTGTATTACTTAGAATCCCTTTATTCTTAGTCTTACTTAAAGCCTGGTCCGTGAGCACGTAGAATCCCGTCCAATGACCCCAAGCTACCCATCCCTATCGCTCGCGCGTACAGTGGCGGATTTACAAATTTGCCGCTAGTAGGCCATTCAATTTTTGCCGCCCCTACCTACTGACTTTTGAAATTCAATACGTTAAGTTTAGATTGTGAACTTAATGATAGTTCTGTCAGTTAATAGATTATTATTTCAACCCGTTATGTACTGAAGAGTTTAATGTTGACCTAAAAACAGCAGTATGTACTAATCCTAAGGTGGGGAAAGGCATGACTTAAAAATACCTACACTATATGAACACAGACAAAATAATGTGTGGTCAGTAAACATTGTTTTTGGTAAATATTTTTATTGCACTTATCAGTTTAAAAACAATACAAACAATTTCTATTAAAATATAACATGTTAACAATCCAGTTAATGGTGACAGACAATGAGATCAAATAAGTTTTACATTATTTTCNTCGCGCGGCCCGCGTGTGGAAATTACAGGGTATTTTGAATGTATGACACGTAATACATTATTTTTGAAAAAAAATGAACAACAATTTTTTAGATAATTAAATTTTCTATCATTTGGTGAAAGAATCATTAAAATCGCTTCAGCCGTTTAGGAGGAGTAGGAAATTTCTTTGGTGAAATTAGAAGAAAGTTAAGAATTTTTTCTGTCAAAACTAATAGTTGTAACAAAAAAAACGAACAACAATTTTTTAGTTTAAGATATTATACATCTCACACATATTTTTTTTTCTTGTTTGGATCATCCATTTAGGAGGAGTAGGGATTCAAAGAGAGGTCTATTTTGCAGTTTTACCTCACCTATCGCCTTAAGGTGATGAATTTTAGGAGTATGTCATGAAACCAAAATTATTAGCATAAAAGAGCTTGTTTTAAAAAAAATCTTTTTATTTATGATGGGGAATTTACTACGGCGTTGTAGCAGAGATTTTCCGTTTGTAGATCGTAATAATTTCGAAGAATAGGGATGTTTCGTGGATAAAGTAAGAAAGTAGCAAGAGTTTGAATAAGACCGTCGGTGAACTTACCAAAAAAAAAAACTAAATGTATTTTTCACTTTTTTAAACTTATGAAAATTTGAAGAGATGAAGCGCACCAAAGTTCAGCAGATGAGGCACATGACGTCAAGGCATGCTTAAAAATGTGGCGATTTGTGTCGTCACGCGGAATTTCATCGCATCATTATCTTCGTAATTACTTGTTTAATTGAAAAATAAAAATATCCTGTGTCCAATATTTTTTGATAATGTAAAATTGACGGACCAAAAGTCTTTTTTAAAGAAACTAGCCTATTCCTATGGCCACATTCCAGCTCCATCATCAGACCCTGCAGTTTCCCTTAGAGAATTGAAGACTCATGATTTTCAAAGTAGCGTACCTACTTACATAACATTAGGTACTTGCTTATACAGGGTGTCCCAAAAACAATGGATAACCCTTCAACCATCGATAGGCCTCGCCATGGTCTCCCTAACGTCCAATTTTGACCCCAGTAAAAATATCACCGTTTTCAAGATTTTTAAGTTTTTGTGCATTTTTAGAAAATTGTAATGAAATTATTTAGGTATAATAATAAATAAATACAAATCAAACGAGCCTAAACTCGATAAAATCGTTTATTCCCGGAGTTGCTATGGGGCCACTGGCATTCCAGCTCTACCATCAGATCAGCTCCATGTCATCACAATATTGCATTGTCACCCGAATTACATGTATATCCGAAATTTGAACTCAATCAATTGATGAAGGATTTCTAATAAAAAGACAAATACATTTTCAGTTTATTCTTCATAAGTGATAGACAAAAGCAGAAACATTTGCTTTTTTAGGCCATAGACAATACTGGGTAGGTACTAATGCGTTCCAATAGGGATGATGACTGGGTAATGAAATCGAAATTCTATTTAGTCCGTCAGACAGATAATTAGAAAATATTAGACTCATATTTTTTATTTTTTTCCATAATCGAATAATTACAGTATTATATTGAGTTGAAATGTCGCGTGACGTCACATTTGAGTAAAAATTCTACTCAAGCGTGGCGTATCGCGCCATTTCAACTCGGTGTAGCACTGTTATTATTTAATTATGAAAGGAAAAAAAACTTATGAGTCTAATATTTTCTAATTATCTGTCTGGCGGACAAATAATTGAAATTTTGTCATCTAGCCTAGTTGTCGTCAGGAAGTTGGTCTAACTAATTCAGCTTGCAACTAATTCAGCTTGCAAGATTCCACCCGAACAAACATTTATGTAATTAAAAGCTTGTAATAAAGTCGGGTTTGTTCAAATTTCGAGAACGACTGAACCGACAAAAGCATTAGAAAATTTACGAAAAATAAAATAAAATTTTATCCCGTACCAAATGTTCATGGATTTTGTTATTTTTATTAAATACCTTTACGCCTGAGTTAAATGACACCGACATCAAGGTTCATCAATTTAAGTTTAAAATAATAGGCAGTAATGTATGAAGAAAGAGCTTCTATTCTGTATCTACCTATGCCCGTGTATTTTTGATCGGTGTCAAATCGGAGTTTTTGGTGCGGGGTACGCGGGTGTTGCTCGCGGCCTGAAGGTCAAACGCCCAAGGTCATTGAGGACTCTAATCGCCTTAACGTCAACAATCCAGACACGCTTCTCGATTCTGCGATACGATTGGTCAAAACAGCTGACGTACGCTGTTGAACGACCAATCGTATTGCAGAATCGAGAAGCGTGTCTGGATTCAACACGTTAAAAGTTACCGTAATCGGGGCTCAGGCTTTAGGTATAGATCGTTTCATCCACGCAGGACGCGCCCCACCAATGTTTGGTCTCGGTCGCGCGGGGTGCGGGGAGTTTGATCCGAGCAATCCGAGCGTTTAGTGTGTGTGCGTGTGCACTCATGGATAATTTAGTGTGACACTCTTATCACTCAAACATTAGCGGAAGAATGGTGGGGCGTGTCTTCGTGGATGAAACGATCTATTATGGATTATTATGATATTGTTGTGAAATCTACAGGATCTCTATAAACTAAGTAGGTCCTAGAACTTAGTTTTTAAAATTAAAATGATTTTTATTAATAAAGTTATCTAATAGAAAATTAAATTCGTTGTTGCTGTTGATTTCTCTTCTGCTCCACCTATAATTTCATTGCCTGTTTCATTTTTTGATAGTTTATTGTCATCACTTTTTACTTTTACATTGTCCTCGTCATCATTGTCATCATGTCT